CCTTTCTCTTGATATGATGTATTAATTGATTTACAAATATTGAACGACCCTTGCATCCCAAATGATTTTTTTTTAAAAGTACTCTTGGCTTCAGTTTGCTAATATTTTGTTCAGGATTTTTCCATCTATGTTCATCATAGACACTGGCCTGTAGTTCACTTTTTTTGGCTGTCTTAATGTGGCTTTGGTATCTTGGTTATGCTGGCCTCACAGAATAAATTTGGAAGCTCTACTTCCTCTTCTATGTCTTGGAATTGTTTGAGAAGAATAGGTATTAACTTTTACTTAAATGCTTGGTAGAATTCACCTGTGAAACCATGTGGTCTCGAGTTTTCTTTGTTGGGAGTTTTTAAATTATGGATTATCATTGCTAGCAATTGGCCCGTTCAAATTCTCTATTATGTCCTGATTCAGTTTTGAAAAGTTTTATATTTCTATAATTTATCCATGTCTTCTAGATGTCCAAATTGCTGGCATATAGGTTTTCATAGTATTCTCCTATAATTATCTTTTGTAGTTCAGTGGTGTCAATTGTTATTTCTCCTCCTTCATTTCTGATCTTCAGTCCTTTCTCCCTCTCTTTTTTTATAAGTCTGGCTAAAGGTTTATCAATTTTGTTGATTTTTTTTTTTCAAATAACCAGCTCCTGGTTTTATTGATCTATTCTTTTATTTTTTTAAGTCTCTCTATCATTTACTTTTGCTCTAATCTTTACTATTTCCTTCTGTCTCCTGGCTTTGGTCTTTGTTTGTTCCTTTATTTGAGATTTTTATTCTTTCTTGAGATAGGCCTATATTGGTATAATCTTACCTCATAAGAGGTTTGCTGCATCCCAAAGAATCTGAACTATTATGTTTCCATTTTCATTTGTCTCCATGTATTTTTTAATTTTTTTCTTTCTTTGTCGATCCACTGGTTGGTTAGTAGCATGTTGCTTAGCTTTGTGTTTTTTTCCATATTTTTCTTGCAATTGATTGTTTTGGTTTCATATCTTTTTTTTTTTTTTGGAAAAGATGCTTGATGTGGTTTTATCTTCTTAAATTCATAAAATTTGCTTTGTGCCCTAACATGTGATCTATTCTGGAGAATGTTCTATGTGCACTTAAAAATTATGTTTTTTGAAAAAAAAAATTATGTTTTTTGATAGAATGTTATGAATATATATGATGTAGTTTTATCTCGTTCAATATGTCATCCCAAGTTACTGTTTCCTTAATTTTCTGTTTGCATGAAATATCCATTAATATAAGTGGGGTGTTAAATTATTATTATTGTATTAATTTCTTCCTTTAAGCCTGTTAAGACATGCTTTATGATTTGGGTGCTCCCATTTTGGGTGCATAAATATTTACAACGGTTATATCTTCTTGGTGGATTTTCCCCTTTATCATTATGCAGTGTCCTTCTGTCTTATTACAATCTTTGTTTTAATGCCTCTGTTGTCCAATATAAGTATTTCTCTCCTGGCTTTCATTTCACTTCCATTTACAAGGTGAAATGTTTTTCCAACCTTTCAATCTCCATGTGTCTTTAGGTCTGACCTTAGTCTCCTGTAGGTAGTGTTTAAATGGGGCATTTATTTTTTATCCATTCAGTCATCTCATGTCTTTTGATTAGAGCATTTAGTCCACTTACATTCAAAGTAAATAACTGGTATGTTATTATTGCCATTTTGTAACTTGTTTTATGGTTGGTTTTTGTAGTTTTTCTTTTTTTTCCATGTTTACCTTCTCTCTTCCCTTGTGATTTGGTAGCTTTCTTCAGTATCATGCTCCAATTACTTCCTCTTTACTTTTTGTGTATCTACCACAGGTTTTTGATTTGTGGTTACCATTAGGTTCATATATATATTATGTATGTAGCGTCTTATGTTATGTTGATGGTCAGTGGACTTTGAAGTCATTTTAAATGTACTAAAATTTTACTTAACCCAAGATTCATATATATATGTCATACTTAACATCCTTTTATTTTGCAAATCTCTTGACCAAATTTTTGTAGATATCATTGATTTTACTGTTTTTGTTCTTTAATCTCAAGGTTTTATAAGTGATTAATATACTTTTATTATATGTTTGCATTTACCTGTGAACTTTTTTCCTTTCATAATTTTCTTACTCCTAATTATGGCCTTTTCTTTCCAGTCAAAGAATTCCTTTTAATTTTCCTTGAAGGATGGATTAATGGTGATAAACTCTTTTAACTTTTATTTGCCTAGGACACTCTTTATCTCTACTTGTATTCTGAAGATAGCCTTGTTGAATGGAGTATTCTTGGTTACAGATTATTTTTCTGTCAGTACTCTGAATATACCATGCCATTTTGGCCTGCAAAATTTCTGCTGAAAAATGAGGTGAAAGCCTTGTGGGATTTCCCTTGAATATAACTGTTTTCTTCTTTTCTCTTGCTGCCTTCAACGTTCTCTATCACTACATTTTGCCATTTTAATTATTATGTGTCTTACTGTGGACCTCTCTGAGTTAATTTTGTTGTGGGCTCTGTGTGCCTGCAGAATCTGGATGTCTGTTTCTTTCCCCGAGTTAGGAAGTTTTTAGCTATTATATCTTCAAATAAATTTTCTGTGCTCTTCTCTCTCCTCTTTCTGGGAATGCTGTAATGTGAATGTTGGAATCCATAGTGATGTCACTGAGTTCACTTAATTTATTCTCATTTTTAATTTTTATTTGTTTGCTATTCAGCTTGGTTTCTTTCTGTTACTCTGTTTTCTAGCTCACTGATCCATTCTTTTGGTAATCATTCCCTCTAGTGTATTTTTAATTTTATTTATGAAGTTCTTAATCTCTGATTGGTTCTTTTTTATATATTCTCTTTGTTAAATGTTGAGAGTCTCCACTCTTTTGTCTAGTCCAGTGAGTGTCTTTTTGACTATAATTTTGAATTCTTTATCAGGCATATTGCTCATCTCTGTTTAATTTAGTTCTTTTGCTTTCGTTTTGTCTCATTCTCTCATCTGGAGCATATTCCTCTGTTTCCTCATTTTGCCCATTTTTTTGTGCTTGTATTAGGAAAGTAAGCTAAGTCTCTGATCTGGAAAGGGGTGGCCTTATGAAGAAGAGGTCCTCTGGGTGTCCTGTAGCATAATGTCCACTGTTCATCAGCACCAGGAGCTTTAGGGGTGTCTCCTAGTGGGTGGTGTGCACCCTACTGTTGTAGCTCTGTTTGCCTACAGTCATGGGCATACCAGGCAGGTTTTGGTCCCTGTGCTGTTAAGGAATGAGTCTGGGGCTACTACAGGCTTGTAGTTCAGCCTCTTTGCCTGGGCTGCCATCATACCAAATAGCAGGGTACTCTCTATTGTCCTCTGAGAGGTTTTCAGTGGTAGGCAGGGCCTACAATCAAACCAGATGCCTGCCCCCATCCATCTATTAGGGCTGCAGCAGCACGGACCTTCAGGGTCAATCTGAAGGTGAGGGTCAACCTGCCTTTCCCTAAGAGGTTTCTCTTGGTGAGCAGGGCCAACAATTAGACCAGATGCCTACCCAGTCTGTCTGACACTGCTTCAGTTGCACTGCTGTGTGTGGTTATCTTCTCCTCAATCCAGGACAGTAGTCACTTTGGAGTGGTGCAGCTCCCCGTCAGGGCTGCGTACAGGGTTTGTCTTGGCAGGAGCTGCTTTGGAGGGATGCTTGCTAAGTGGGAAGAATATCCAGAATGCAGGATATAGTATACGTTGTGTTGGGAAGATAGGTAGAGTGTTCCTGCTAGTTCCTGCAACTGCATGGCTATCTAGACAGGGGAGTGGGGTGGAGAAAAATGGCACCCAACACCTCTTCTGTTCTTAGAGAAATCTCCTACTGATCCCTGCCCCTCCTGCACACATTCTGAGATTAGTAAATAAATGTCCTTCATGTATATCCCAGGCAATTTTCGAAGTGGTGCTTCTATTCTATATCTTGGTGGGGTTTTTCTTGTTGTTGTTCTTTGTTTATTATGCTGGCTATTTAAAGCCAAGGACTTCATTTCTTATTGCCCTTTGGGCTTCCCACAGCTAACCCAGCTAATTTTTAAAGAACTTGGCATTAAGTCCCAATGTTTGTCAAAACTCACAAAGTTAAGCCCCATAGTCTTTCAAAGCCTAATTTTTAATATAATTTATTGTCAAATTGGTTTCCATACAACACCCAGTGCTCATCCCAACAAGTGCCCTCCTCAATGCCCATCATCAATTTCCCCTCTCCACTCCCCCATCAAGCCTCAGTTTGTTTTCAGTCCTTTTTTTTTATGTTTATTATTGAGACAGAGAAATAGAGCATGAGTGGGGGAGGGTCAGAGAGAGAGGGAGACACAGAATCTGAAGCAGGCTCCAGGCTCTGAGCTAGCTGTTAGCAAAGAGTCCGACATGGGGCTCGAACCCACAAACTGTGAGATCATGACCTGAGCCAAAGCTGGACTCTGAACTGAGTGAGCCACCCATGCGCCCCTGTTCTCAGTTTGTAAGAGTCCCTTGTGGTTTGCTTCCTCCCCCTCTAAATATTTTTTCCCTTTCCCCTCCCCCATGGTCTTCTGTTAAGTTTCTCAAGATCCACATATGAATGAAAACATATGGTATCTGTCTTTCTCTGCCTGACTTATTTGACTTAACATAATACCCTCCAGTTCCACCCACGTTGTTATAAATGTCAAAGCCTAATGTTATGGGGACCTGTCTTTCCAATGTAGTTCCTCCTTGCCTGGGTTACCTGGTGTGGGGTCTACTCCTCCCTCTTTCCCCTGTTTGTGGTGTTCCTTCTGTTCATGGTTAGTGTCAGTGGGACTTTGGTTCCAGACAGTGTCTGCCCCTTCTATCCTTTTCAATGTGGCCTTCTCTCTGCAATAAACTGCAAAGTCTATTGTGTCAGCCTTCCAGGTGTTTTCTATGTTAGTTGCACTCATGTGGCTATCTACGTGTTTCCGTGGGACCAGGTAAGCTCAGGATCCTCCTACTCTGCCATCTTCCCAAAAGTCCACCACATACTAAACTTTGAAGTTAAATCTCTTACCTGCCCCAAGACAATGATTTCATCTGCATCAACCACTGTTGACAATCTGTGGGCAATGAAAATAGAAGTTCTGTGTTTGACTGCATCCCTCATGGCACCAAGAATAGTCTGCAAGTTTGACAACAAGAAGAGTAGGAAATCCATTAGGTAAATGTAAATTAAAATAATCATACATCTCTTAAAGGAACATATAAAATGCCAATTGATTTTGTATTATATAAACTTTATACCACTACCAAATATTTACCCTAATGTAAATAATTACTAAGAGGAGGAGAAAATAGACCAACATGAGAAGGCAACTATGACATTATCATGGAAAAAATTATCTTTGAGATAGGCAACACTTCTTTATTACAAAGACTGAGAGAAGGTGGATATTTCTATACATAAAAACAAACAAACAATAATGATGAATCCAGTGGTATCAGGAACATGCTGGTTATGACGTTTATCTGGCCTATGAGAAAAAAAATAAAATGAAGTAGGAATCAAGTAATAGGATACAGAAAATGACAAAACAATGAATAGAAAGATAGGAAACTCAAAGGGTACAGGAACATTTGCTTTTGATTAGTTCAAACTTAGAGAACAGACAGGGCAACAAAGACAACTGGGTATATTTAACTTAAGCAAACTTCCCTCTGAAAAGTATTCTGACTTCTTTATCCATCATTGATCAATGGACACTTGGGCTGCTTCCACATCTTGGCTAATGTAGATAATGCTGCTATAAGCACAAGGGTATATGTATCACTTTCAATGAGTGTTGCTGTAATTTGGGGGTAAATACCCAGTACCACAATTACTGGAACATAGAATAATTCTATTTTTAACTTTCTGAGGAACCTCCATACCGTTTTCCAGACTACCTGCATCAGTTTGCATTCTGATCAGCAGGGCACCTTTGTTCCTTTTTCTTCACATCCTCACCAATACTTGTTATTTCTTGTGGTTTTGATTTTATCCATTCTGACTGGTGTGAGGTGATATCTCATTGTCGTTCAGATTTGCATTTCCCTGATGATGAGTGATGTGGAGCATCTTTTCAAGTGTCTGTCTGCTATCTGGATATATTCTTTGGAGAAATGTCTGTTTATGTCTTCCGCCCATTTCTATAAATTTAGATCTTTTAATTTAAATATACAATGAGAGGACAATCAGATGGCCAACAGACACATGAAATGATGCTCAGCATCCCTCATCAGGGAAATATAAATCAAAACCACACTGAGATACCACCTCACGCCAGTCAGAGTGGCTAAACTGAACAAATCAGGAGACTCTAGATGCTGGCAAGGATGTGGAGAAATGGGCACCCTTCTACACTGTTGGTGGGAATGTAAACTGGTGCAGCCCCTCTGGAAAACAGTGTGGAGGTTCCTCAAAAAATTAACAATAGAACTCCCCTAAGGCCCAAGCAATAGCACTGCTAAAAATTTACCCAAGGGATACAGGAGTGCTAATGCATAGGGGCACTTGTACCCCAATGTTCATAGCAGCACTCTCAACAATAGCCAAAAGAAGGAAAGAGCCTAAGTGTCCATCAACGGACAAATGGATCAAGAAGATGTGGTTTATCTATACAATGGAATACTATATGGCAATGAGAAAGAATGAAATCCGGCCATGTGTAGCAACATGGATGGACCTTGAGGGTGTTATGTTGAGCGATATAAGTCAGGCAGAGAAAGACAAATACCATATGTTTGCACATATAGGGAGATTAGGAGGAAGTTAACGGAGGACGATTCGGGAGGAGAAGGGTAAAAATAGTGGGGGAGAGGGAGAGAGGCAAACCATGAGAGACTCTTGAATGCTGAGATCAAACTGAGGGCTGATGGGAGTGGGGGAGAGGGAAAGGGGGGTGATGGGCATGGAGGAGGGCACCTGTTGGGATGAGCACTGGGTGTTATATGGAAACCAACTTGACAATAAACTATTATAAAAAAAATACAATGGAAGATAATTCAGACATAAAAACTGAAATCCTGCCATTTGCACTGACATGCATGGGGCTACAGAGTATAATGCTAAGTCAGTCATAAAAAGACAAATAACATACAATTTCACTCATAAGAGGAATTTAAGAAACAAAACAAACAAGCAAAGGAAAAAAGGCAGAGAGAGAATGAGACAGAAACAAATCAAGAAAGACTCTTTTTATTTATTTATTTATTTATTTCTGAGAGAGAGAGATACAGCGTGAGCAGGGGAGGGTCAGAGAGAGAGGGAGACACAGAATCTGAAACAGGCTCCAGGCTCTGAGCTAGCTCTCAGCACAGAGCCCAGCGTGGGACCCGAAGCCACCAACCGTGAGATCATGACCTGAGCTGAAGTCAGATGCTTAACTGACTGAACCATCCAGGTGCCCCAAGAAACAGACTCTTAACTATAGAAAAGAAACTGATGGTTATCAGAGGGGAAGTGGTTGGGAGGATGGGATGAAATCGGTAATGGGAATTAAGGAGTGCAATTGTTGTGATAAGTAGTAAATGATATATCAAATTGTTGAATCACTAAATTGTACACATGAAACTAATATAACACTATGTTAACTATACTGGAACTAAAATAAAATTTAAAAAGAACAAAAACCCTTAATGTCATAAACTGAAAAAAAGAAAAGCAGCAAGAGGATGGAAATGGCTACACAGAGAGCAAAGTTGTCACTTGATGACAATGAGATAAAGCTGAGAATGATACATCTAGCTCCATTTCCCCTTACACTAGAAGGAAGGAGAGCTTCCTCCCAACACCTCTGGCCTTTCTTTCTTTTTTTTTTTTAATTTTTTAAAAATGTTTTATTTATTTCTAGGAGAGGGAAAGACAGCGCGAGCAGGGGAGGGTCAGTGAGAGAGGGAGACACAGAATCTGAAGCAGGCTCCAGGCTCCGAGCCGGCAGTCAGCACAGAGTCTGACGCGGGGCTCGAAGCCACGAACCACGAGATCATGACCTAAGCAAAAGTCGGATGCTTAACCGACTAAGCCACCCAGGAGCCCCACCTCTGGCCTTTCTTGAACACAAGCATTCTATACAGGGCACATTAAATTGGCACAAGTTTTTAGAATCCATTTTTCCCCAAAATATACAAGATTCAGAAGAAATGGGCCAAATTCCCCAGTTATAAACAGAGGGAATAACTGAGACACTGGCCCTGAATAGTCAACAGAGTGAACCTAACTGAATAAAGAGCAAAAGACATCAGGGAAATACAAATCAAAACCACACTGAGATACCACCTCACGCCAGTCAGAGTGGCTAAAATGAGCAAATCAGAGAACTCTAGATGCTGGCGAGGATGTGGAGAAACGGGCACCCTCCTACACTGTTGGTGGGAATGTAAACTGGTGCAGCCCCTCTGGAAAACACTGTGGAGGTTCCTCAGGAAACTAACACTAGAACTCTCCTATGACCCAGCAATAGCACTGCTAGGAGTTTACCCAAGGGATACAGAAATGCTGATGCATTGGAGCACATGTACCCCAATGTTCCTAGCAGCACTCTCAACAATAACTAAAACATGGAAAGAGCCTAAGTGTCCATCAAAGGACAAATGGATCAAGAAGATGTGGTTTATCTATACCATGGACTACTACATGGCAATGAGAAACAAGGAAATCTGGCCATGTGTAGCAACATGGATGGACCTTGAGGGTGTTATGCTGAGCGAAATAAGTCAGGCAGAGAAGGACAAATATCATGTTTGCACGTATAGGAGGATTAGGAGGAACTTAACTGAGGAACAAGGGGGAGAAGAAGGGGGGAAATGGTGGGGGAAAGGGAGAGAGGCAAACCATGAGAGACTCTTGAATGCTGATAAAAACTGAGGACTGATGGATGTGGGGGGGGAGGGGAGGATGGACATGGAGGAGGGCACTTGTGGGGATGAGCACTGGATGTTATGTGGAAACTAATTTGGCAATAAACTATTTTTAAAAAAAAAAAAAAAAAAAGAATAAAGAGCAAAAGGAAGGAAACAGGAAAGAAAGTATTCTGTCTTCTTAATGAATTCTGGAAAACATTTTTTATTACAGTATAATTAACAATGTTATATTTATTTCAGGTGTATGACATAATGATTCAATAATTTTTTTCTTTTTTGAAAGTGAGAGCACAAGCAGGGGGAGGGGCAGAAGGAGAGAGAGACAGAGAGAGAATGAGTCTTAAGCAGGCTCCATGCTCAGCACAGAGCCCAATACAGGGCTCGATCCCACAGCCCTGATCATGACCTGAGCTGAAATCAAGAGTCAGATGCTCAACCAACTGAGCCACTCAGGCAACCCTGATTCAATAATTTTATACACTATTCAGTGTTCATCATGATCAGTTAATCCCCTTAATCTATTTCACCCAATCTCCCACCAACCTCCCTTCTAACAATCACTAATTTATTCTCTGTATTTAAGAATCCGTTTGCAAAACACATTTTTGTTCACTGCCTTTAAAGTATAAGAGAGTTGTGTATATATTCAGTTATACTTGGAAACCTGGATCTAAGTATAGCTAGCAGGATGGAAATCGCAGTGTGAGGTTGGCCATATACCCAATGGGTCCTTAAAGACATTTCTAAACACTGTATTTATTAAAGGAATAAAATGGTCAAGAATAGATGGTTACCCAGAAGTGAAGACTAGGGAAGACTGAAAATTAAGTGCAGGGTCAATTTAAGAAAAATTGTGATGTCTATGGACTCACTCTCCTTATTCTCAAGAACTTTTTAAAAAGGCTCATTAAAATTTACCAAATCTTCTAGTAACTCATTCCCTTGGTGGGGAGTTGTCTACTAACTCTTATTGAGTTATGATCTAGAAAATAATGAAGCTACATGACTCAAATAATGACTGTCAGGACTTATAATTTGTGGTAAATATGAATGATACATTTTTACGTATACAGTTCTTGTAAGCAGATTCCTATTACCCCTATGAATGGAGTGTGGCCTTGCTTAAGGTTCCCTTATTTTCTTAAAATATTTTTAATGTCTTGTTGCTACACATGGCCTCCTGAGGAACCTCCACACTGTTTTCCAGAGGGGCTGTACCAGTTTACATTCCCACCAACAGTGTGGGAGGGTGCCTGTTTTTCCACATTCTCGTCAGCATCTAGAGTCCTCTGATTTGCTCATTTTAGTCACTCTGACTGGCGTGATTTGGTATCTCAGTGTGGTTTTGATTTGTATTTCCCTGATGAGGAGGGATGCTGAGCATCGTTTCATGTGTCTGTTGGCCATCTGGATGTCCTCTTTGGAGAAGTGTCTGTTCATATCTTCTGCACTGGGTGTTATATGGAAACCAACTTGACAATAAACTATTTGTAAAAAAAATAATAATAAATAAAAAAATAAAAAATATTTTTAATGTCTTTATTTCTGAGAGAGAGAGAGGGAGAGAGAGAAAGAGAGAGAGAGAGAAAGAGAGGAGCAGGGGAGGGTCAGAGAGAGAGGAGGAGACATAGAATCTGAAGCAGGCTCCAGGCTCTGAGTTAACTGTCAGCACAGAGCTCGACATGGGGCTCAAACTCACAAACCGTGAGATCATGACCTGAGCCAAAGTTGGGCGCTTAACCAACTGAGCCACCCAGGTGCCCCTTAAGATTCCCTTTAAATATAACAAATCCTCATGCTAAACAAGCCACTTAGATGTTAAACTGTTTTAAACATATGGCAGATCGAATTATATGCCCTGAAACTTAACTACATATGGAAATACTATGCCATATATGCTGTAAAGCTGAAATTAGGCCTATCCTTCAACACTAGGTTTTTACTACATATTCGAGTAAAATGTAGGTGAATGGAGATAACTGACAGATAACATTTGCCTATTTTCAGTTCTAGATTAAGGGGATCCATTCATGAAATTGTCTTTATTATTAAGACTTTTATATTTAATGCAAAGATGTTATGAAGTATAACGTAGTTGCTAGGTAGTACCATGATATCAAGCGTCACAACATCTTGGTGTTGCAAAACCTTTTTTGTGAAATGAATATAAATTTATACTATCACCACAGGGTATGTGTGCCTGACTTGTACTATCAGTGAGTTGCTCCATGATAAGTTAAAGACTTTCTGGTGTATACTATCACAATAATTTACACGACCTGCTTTCATGAGTGTTAAGAGGTAATAGAAAGACTAAAACATTTTTTCTTTGTCAGCAGATTAGGCAATTCTCTTACAAGCTTTTCAAGATGCAAGGATAATACAACAATCACATGGTTCTAAAAGGAGACACTTTTACAAATGGACTTAACAATGTGATATCAATGCAATCTGGCATTCTTGATAGTTAGCAACACTTGCTATATAGGGGAAAAGGGCCAGGTATTTTGCTCTATAGTACCTCCTACTGAAGTTCATTCAAAATACAAAAGAATGTAACCATTTTACTGAAACTTCCAAGGAGAAAAGTTAAGCACTGAGAATTGAAGAGCATGGCATTTTCATTATCATTTACCTCTTCAGTAATTGAATCTAATGATGAAGTGGCTTCATCATAGAGAATGACTGGGGGGTCCTTCAAAATGGCTCTTGCAATTGCTACTCTTTGCTTTTCTCCTCCTGGTAAAGAAAAATTTAGTTTAAGGATATATAACATAAAGACATTTTTTGTTTCTAATATTTCCACTGATCATAACCACCAAGTAATGGCCTTTAACATTTACCTCTACTCTGATCACTGTTCATTTTACTCAGTTGTAAGAGTCTAATAAGTTCATATATATGATATTCTTTGACAAACTATACACCCTGCTCTGGAACATAAATGTAATTCTGGATTCTGACACTGTGGCAGGTGAAGAGAAAAAGGAGAAGTAACAGCTCTGATTCCACAATTATTCCTCTCACCATAAATATGCTCATTATATAATATTACTTTACATTACCTTATATTACTTCCCAGTGGACAGCATCTCAGAACAATTTCAATATTAGAGAATTGACAAAGACAAAACTAAATTCAGTATCTGAAATCTGGAAACTTGGAAGACATGAAACTATGAATATCTTGGGGCGCCTTGGTGGCTCAGTTGCTTAAAGCATCTGACTCTTGATTTTGGCTCAAGTCATGACCTCATGGTTCGTGAATTTGTGTCCTACATCAGACTCTGCGCTGACAGCGCTGAACCTGCTTGCATCTCTCTCTCTCCCTCTCTCTCTGCCTCACCCTTGCACCCCACCCTTCAAAACAAATAAATATAGAGGCACCCGGGCAACTCAGTTGGTTAAACATCTGATTCTTGGTTTCAGCTCAGGTCATGGTCTCATGATTCACGAGTTCAAGCCCTGCACTGGGCTCTGTGTTGACAGCACGGAGCCTGCTTGGGATTCTGTCTTCTTTCTCTGCCCCTCCTCTGCTCACGCTCTCTCTCAAAAATAAACAAACACTTAAAAGAAAACTTAAAACAAAGAAATAAATTTATTTCTTAACAAAAAAGTACCATTCAGCCAGTATTATTCTCAAGGATTTTTTCTGGAAGATATTATTTTCATAGCACCCTTCAAAGTTAAGTATATATACCCTTATATACTCAATACCTCTTATTTCACCTTAGGAAAGCAGAATTTTAAAACAGAAAAGAAACAGGTTTCCTGATTTGCTCAAGGTCACAGAGCAAATTCCAGTGGAATCTGGACTAAATCTGACTCCCAATCCAATGCTCTTCGTATCATAATCTGCAAGCTTGTATTTATTCCTAAATATACTCTAGTGAAAACAAAACAATCTTTTCTTCCTTCAATGGGACTCCAGTAGGTCTAAGGTCATCAATCATACACAGAATTATAGTTGGAAGTATAGAAGATGATGCTTTCCTGAATATGCTCCCCTGGGCTTCTATTCCATTATCCATTAATTTATCAATGTCTGAACAAACTTGTATTTTTCAGCTTTAGTAATCTCTTCAGGAAGCAAGCTCCACCTACTTATTATCTGGTACACCAAATATTGTTTTATTTCTTCTGCAATTATTATTTCCAACCAGTAAAGGGAGCTCCTTATGTCTAAGTGCATAAGTTTATATTTATACTATCCACATTCTTTCCCATTCAGTAAGATCAAAATTCTCCTACCAAAGCAGGCATCATACCAGAACTATCTGCTTACCCACCTAGCAATTCAGTAGCAGGAAGCTCCTAAAAGAAGTAGATACTCAGAGGAAGGACTAGTTTAGACCTGCCTCAGAAATTTCAAGTGCAAACACCAACCCAGTTTCAATTTTATTCAATAGAATTTTGGAACTTGGAGAAGAAACATTTGTTTGTTACCTACCATAAGTATTAACATAGACAGTAAATAATACAAATGCTTATTTAGAGAAGTCTAGCTGTAAGACAATGGGTATTATAAGGCAATGGGTACTTTTTAAAAATTAGAAAAAAACAGGGGCACCTGGGTTAAACATCCAACTTGAGCTCAGGTCATGAACTCGTGGTTCATGAGTTCAAGCCCAGCACTGGGCTCTCTGCCGACAGCTCAGAGCCTGAGGTCTGCTTCAGATTCAGTGTCTCCCTCCCTCTTTGCTCCTCCCCCACTCACTCTCCGGCTCTCCCTGCCTCTCAAATATAAACATAAAAAAAACAAAAACAAAAAACTACAAACCAACCTAACTTGAAAACAATCTTTGCTTAAGATTTCCTAAACCTAGATCAAAACTTTCTAATGGACTGCAAATTCCTTGAGGGCAAGCCCCTTTTTGCTTCATCCTTTTAACTCTCAAATCATTTAGCATATTAGCTTGTACGTAGTATGTACCTAATCAATGTTGTGAATAAATGAAGCCAGTTTATAATGAAAAGCAATGGGGATTCATTAAAATTTATGCAGAGTATTCTTCATTTTCTTTTTGCCTCACCTCCATCCCTAATCTACACATTTCCTCCCTAAATTAAACTATAATGGAGAATAAATGTAAAGAATATAGTGTGTATATGGGTTAGAGTAATACTTTCAGGTATTAGGATAGCATTACACTTCTGGAATTCAAATAATTTGGGGTGAAAAAATATGTATAAACACTTAGAAGAAACGTACAAGCCCCCGAATTTACTTGACCACTGAACCAATGAGGACATGAAAATGAAGGTAGTTATAAAGACACTACAGCAGTTAAGTATATCAAATGTAAGGAAGTCTAAAGCATTGAAAACATGAAAAGGAAATTATGATGAGATACCCTATTTACTATCAAATTACTTTTCCCTATTCTTACTACTTTCTCAGGTGGATAATGGTCTTGGCTTTCCTTTAATATTAAAATTATGGATGATAAGTTAACACTGATCTGAGCATGTATCAGTAATCTACTATTAAGTACTTAAAGTATGCAGCTGTAAGTGAAAACAAAAATAATTGCATGACTTGAGAAGTTATTTCCAGCATATTGAATTATTTGCAGTGATGGCTAAGACCTTGTTGAAAGTGATGGGATGAGCACTAGGTATGTACTCTGTCATTACATTTTCTAGAAAATGGCTCTATACAAGTGGAGGGGCAGATCTAAAATCTCTGATTACCTGAAAGTTTGAGTCCTCGTTCCCCTACTTGTGTGTCATATCCATGTGGCATTCGAAGAATTGCATCATGGAGTCCAGCTAATTTTGCCACTGCATACACTTCCTCAGGTGAAGCATGGATGTTTCCATATAAGAGGTTGTAGTAAATGGTGTTGTGGAAGAGGACAGCATCCTGGAACAGATTTATATATATATATACATATACATGTATGTTCATTACAAAAAATTCAAACAATTTAGTAAAGACATAAAGAGTAAAATATGATAACCCCTTTATAATCCTTCTCATCTCTGCAATTTAATTTCCCTCCCCAGCACTAATCACCAAGAACAATGTGTTGAGTATCAGTCCAGATTTTTGATGCATTTATATGCCATACATTTTTTCCCACATAGGGGAGTTATACTGTATCTATATCTATAAATATATAATTTTATAAATTGCTTTCTTCACTTAACATACCTTGGAAATTGTTCACATCAGTAATGCTACCTCATTCTTTTTAACAGTTGTATGACACTAACAATGTATTTATTTATTTCTCTATTGCTAGACATTAATGTAGTTTCCAAATTTTAGCTACTACAATGTTGGAATGAAATATGATTGCATATAGGACTTTGTGCACTTGTGTATTTCTGTAAGAATGATTCCTAGGAGTAGACTGATGAGTTAAAAGAGAACTATCCTTTGACAGTACTACCCAACTGTCTCCTAAAATACTCCAACAGTATACACACTTCAGCCCATAATTTATGAGTTTGTCAGGTTCCTGTATCCTCAACAGGCCTCCATATTAATAAGTTTCAGTTGTTGCTACTTTTGTGGGTAAAAAGTGCTTTTTGTTTAAATTAGCACTTCCCTAATTACTAATGACACCGAATATGTTATATATTTCTCAGAAGCTTTTAAACCGGGCACAGAAAACAAAGGATTTATACATTATAGGTATTTTTTGGAGAAAGTTCACTGCAAGCATTCATTTGATATTTCATCTTATTCTGATATCGCACACTAAAGCTAATTTACTTAAAGTAAATATCCATCTCCCACTTTTCTTTCAGTCTCTAAATGGTTGGAAGGCAACAATAAAATGAAATAAAATCCATTAGTTTACCTTAACCAAGATAATTAAGATCTTTAATATCACAATCAGCCCCAGAGTTTCAGATTTTACTTCAAATAATATTTTAATCATTTTAAGCCAACTACTAATATAAAATGTTCTTATATTGAGATGGTACTAAACCTAATATGCTTGAAGTTCTATAAAGAGAAAATACTTATTTTTAAATATTTTATATTTAGAAAAGAGTTAATAAATGCTAACAGGAAACTTTGAAAATTAAAAAAATATAGTAAAAAATTTTAATTAAATAATCCGTAATCCTACCATGTAGCAATAAGTGTTAACATTTTGTTGTATTTTTTCCTTTTTTCTCTACTTACATGTATTCATTTAATATTATAAAATTGAGATTTTATATTTTGCTTGGTATCCTCTTTTTCAACAAACTTTTACCTGAGTATTTTTCCATGACACTCAGTATTCTTTACAAACAGTATTCTTTATATAAATGGCTATATGACATTTGATTCTATGGTGATAATTTAACCATCTACTTATCGTGTTGGATATTTACACTGTTTTCAACTTCTGTTATTATAAATATGTTTTCAATTTGATATTACGAATAATGCTGTAATGAACATTTTTACATATAAAAATATGTTCACATCTCTGTTTATTTCCTCACTAAAACTCCCTAGAGACAGAATTATTGGAATAAGGGGTTTGAATACTTTTTTGGCTCTTGCTTCTTGTCCGGAAAGCTGTATACTTCTACCAGCCAAACACCAGACCTGCCATTTCACACAGACTTGACCAAACTGGACATTATGAATTCTAAAATCCTTGCTTGACAGGTGAAAAATGGTATCCCATTGCTGATTTAATTTATATTGGTTAAGGCCTCCAGTGAGGATCAGCATCTTTTCTTTATCAACCATGTGTATTTTCACTTGATATACAGTTTAGGTTAGTGTTTCTTAACATGAAGTCTATGAATTAATTATCTGTATCAGAATCACATAGGAAGGAAGCATACTAAAAACTGCAGGGTTCTGGGCCCCACAGAGCCTTCCTAAATCACAACTAAGGTATGTGAAAGAGCTGAAATTTCAATAATCTCCCTAGGCAATTCATGAACACTAACATTTGGGATTCTCAGTGAAAAAGAGGAAGGACAGGGCAGAGTGGCATGTGTCAGATCTCTTGGAGACCTTTTATAAGCTACATATCCCTGTCTGATCCCTTTCTTATAGTTATCCTAGGAATTTAATTCAGATTCTAGGCTGAAACTAGTTTCCAGGTCTCTCTGTTGGCTTTTAGCATAAGAAAAATTCACATCCTATAAGGCATCCTTGTCTTGGATTTTGCTTGGAATTTATCTTTCCCCCTAAGGTCATTCAACAAATACTTGCTAAATGCTTACTATGGGTCAGGCACTGCGGGTGGTTCTAAGAGGACAGTGGTAAACAAGGCATAAACATGGAATCAGATTATCAAACTGCTTTTCTAAGTTTCATAAATTCACTACGTTGGAGCGCCTGGATAGTTCAGTCAGTTAAGTGTCCAACATCAGCTCAGGTCACAATCTCACAGTTCTTGAGTTTGAGCCCCCAAACTGGGCTCTGTTATGACAGCTCAGAGCCTGGAGCCTGCTTCAGATCTGTGTTTCCCTCTCTCCCTGCCCCTCCCCCGTTCATGCTCTGTCTCTCTCTCTCTCTCTCTCAAAAAAATAAATAAATAAATAAATTATCAAAGAAAACTTAATAAATAAATAAATTCACTATGTCAAGAACTGTTCAAAATTATAGTAATAGTTTTCATTTACTGAGCAATTACATGATGGACACTGTGCTTAGTGCTTTATAGATATTATCTTTAATCTATAAAAATTCTATCCCATAACACAGATGGTTATTATGCTTACTTTAAAGATAAATAAACTGAGGACCAAGACGACAGAACTTGTAAGGGTTAGAACTAAGATTAGAATCTAGATCAGTCTGACTCTAGTCTGGGCTTTTTCCATTATATTATGCTATCTTTCTAAGACTTGAAAATTTTTTTTTCCATCATGCAGATTTTTCATTCACATTTTTAAAGGCTTTTTGGTAATAGAATTTACCTACAGGGCCTAATGCTTCCTACTTAGTTAGCAATATACTGACTCTTTGGAATCAAATTATTCTAACAATAAGTCTTCCCCAAAATACGTTTATTCTTTTTTTAATACCTGAGGTACTACTCCCACTGCCCGCCGAAGGCTTTCCAGACTCACATCTTGTATATTTTGACCAGCAAGGTAAATGTTACCCTTTTGAGGCTCATAGAAGCGGAACAACAGCCTTACTATTGTGCTTTTTCTGAAATTGGAGACAAGGAAAGGTTATTTAGCTCCTACTGGCATTAGGGAACCCCTGTTTTAAACCACTGTAATCATTTTATTATGATAAAGAAAAAATATTGCACTGGGAATCATCAATCAATGATGTAGAATTTTATAAATAACTAAATTACCCACCCTGACCCACTACCTCCTACAATGGCCACTTTCTTTCCTGCAGGGACTTCAAAAGAGATTCCATCAAGGACTTTCTGCCCCTCAACATATTCAAAATGCACATTATCAAAGACCACCGTAGCTGTCTGTGGTGTGATCTGAATGGGAGATGCCATTGCCTTGTCCTAGTAGGGAAGAGAAGAAAAAAAAGCCACTTTATATATACCATGTAGAGTATAGCCATGTAGACAATTTTCTGATTCACAGAGAGAAAAAAGAAAATAATGGGGAAAGAGGAGGTTTATAAGTAGAGTTAGACCACTTCCAAGCATGCTTTTAAAGACTGTAAAGATTTGGTTTTTTTAAACTCCTCACTAAGGTCAAAAATTCCTAAATGTTTTGATTTTTGATAGTTTTTGGGGGGTCAGGTAGAGGGATGTGTGGGCAGGGGAGTAAGGAAGTTGAGGATATGAGGAAAGGCAATCACACATTTTATACCATTATTAGCAAAAGTAAATCAGGTGCAAGTACAAATAATTCAAGTTAACAAAATTTAGCTTCTAGGTATAATATTCTCTGCTAACACTGTAAGGTTCTAAACATGGAAAAGCTATAACAACCTCTTAATAAACATCATAGCCCCAATTCCTACAAAAAAGAAACTGGTTTGCTAACATGGTGATATAAAAATATTCCCTTAGAATAATCCTATTAATGGGATGATGCTCACATGCTGTTTAAAAGGTACTAAATAGATCACTTACTTTAATTCGAGTGTCTACTTTGAGTAGAGTAAACAAGGTGTTCATATCTATCAGTGCTTGTCTAGTTTCTCTATATACAGTTCCCAGAAAGTTAAGGGGTAATGAAAGTTGAAAAAGCAGTCCATTCACCATTACTAGGTCTCCAACGGTAAGGGTACCTTAATATGTAGTTGGCAGAAGAAAAAAAAAAAAAAAAGGCATTTTAGATGTTATAAACTTTTCTGGCTTAAGATAGAGAAGTGTATTAGTCTGGAATATAGTATTCCATAACTATAATAATTTTTTACAATTTATGCTTTAATTTTTATAGCATAAAAATGCACATAACCAGTAATTCTTAAGGTCTATGCAAATTTCAAAGCATTTTAATCCATGATTTAGGAATATAGAGAACTTGATATAAGTGGAATGGGAACTACCCACCCATACATTATACATAAAATACAAAAAAAAAAAAAAAAGAACGGTTTAAGTGAAGAGAGAAATGGATGGCTAAATATCTCTCTCCTTTCTTCCTAAGACACTAGCAAGTTTCTTTGCAATGTGAAATAGGAAATTTTTTTTAAAGTATATATTAAAAAACTGGAACAAATGGATATCATAATTGGGAATGATAAACCATATATTAAGATCACAGTGAATGAATAAATCCTAACTGAATGAGTGGGCAGGTTATAGAAAAGAGGAAGAGACCTTATTTACTTTTGAAATATTTTACAAATGTAAAATTAATAGAAAGATTAAAATGTAACTTGTAATTATAAAAAGAAAGTTTGCTGCATTTTAGTACTTTGGACTAAATACTAAATTAATTACACTGATTTCCAAGTCTACAAGAAAAATTGGAAATGTTAGATGCTAAAAAAAGAAGTTACTCCTGAAAAAATCAGTATGTAGCCTCACAAAATGCATAAACAGTAGTCCTAATTAATGGGGGAGTAGTGCTAAACTTGTAGTGTCAAACAAAAGGAAGTTAAAAAGACATTATCATACAATTAAGAAAACACATTCTGATACAAAAAGGAAAGTAATCCAAGGATGTTAAGGCATTTTATTGAATATGCTTTATAACTAAGACTAATACATACACTGCTTTCATTAATCCTTATTTATAAAGGTTAAGTAAAACATCTATAAATATGAAACTGCAGATCCATTACCTGCCACAATTCCCTGACTGGCAAGCACCATAATAGCTGTTAAACCAACACTGAAAATAGCATTTTGACCAAAATTCAGCATAGCCAGAGTAGAGGTACTTTTCAAGGAAGCAGTCTCATATGTCTTCAGAAATTTATCATATCTTTGTGCTTCATAGTTTTCATTATTAAAATACTACAAAATAGACAAAAATAGTCATTACATGCAAGTACAATTAGAATTTATTCTCTTAAGTGATTAGTATCCTTTTCATCAGACTTTATGTATGAATTCAATTTTGTACTGCATACTCCATTTTAAAAACTATCAATACATTGGACTATGGTCCTCCTGTAGTTTTCCACAATGAACTATATTTGAAAAGTCCATAAAATTCATCACATATTTACTGAAGGCCTGGTTAATTTAAACCTAGATCTAAAGAAAGGTATAAATGGCACTTCCTTTACAAAGCCTTCCCCTGATCCTCCAAGACTGAGCTGACAGTTCTCATTGCCCCCATTGCTTTATGCTTCCTTGTATAGTCACCTGCATGCATACTTAACTATAATTCTCACAACTGATGGAGTTAATTCTGGGAGAGCAAGACTTATATCAATCATTTTTACCACCCTGCCCCATCACAGGACTTAGTGGAGTGCTTTGGACACAAGAGCCATTCAGCAATAACGGAAAAATGGACACATAAATGAAGGAATTAATGAAAAGCATTATATGTTAGGTCCTCTAAGGGACAGTCAAGACCTTGCATGTCAGTTTGATTAGCTTAGTATTCATTCTGAATAAAGGTGCTAGCTATACTCCTATCATTTATAAATTAATTCAGAAGGTAAAATTTTGATGCTGTCACACAGAAACTGAGGTGGAAAGAGATCAATTTCCAAATAAAGAAGAACAATAAAGTACAATTATTCCATCACACTTAGAGACCCTATCCTAGTCTGAAGCTCTAACTTACAGTACCTATTCAGCTAAATGGCAGAACAAATTTCTGTGCAATGTGAAAAGCAGAGGAAAGTATAATTAAACATATTACCTTCACAGTTTCATAATTCAGCAGTGAGTCTATGGCAGCATTACCTGCATCATTATCCGCTTTGTTCATCTCTATTCTAAATCTAGTTCTGTAAGACAAAGATTCGCATAGGCATGAAATTTTTGCTATATAAGTATAATTAATTTCTGAACCTTGACTGGCCTCTAGGAAATACTTTACCTCCACCGTGTAACAGCAACTGTGAATGCTGTGTATGCACCAAGTGTCCCAAGGGTTACTAATGCAAACTGGGCACCACATCTATAATACTGGAGAAGGCAAAATAAGAAATGATAAACAGTCACTGTTCTTGCCAAAGAGCTTGTAATATGTAACAGCAAATGTCAATCAAAAGATTTTAAAAGAAATATGTTGATGGAAATTATATAAATAAATAATTTTGTGAGAAATCAAATAACTTAGAAAAGCTACTTTAGGTAACAAGGGAAGAAAGACAAACGACACTTGCCACATTGATACTACTGTCATATGTTAGTGATAAAAATAATGCATTAAGCCTCAAGAGGAATAAAAAGTACATATACAGTCTTAATTACAAAATATGAAATTGCTTAAAATGTTATAAATGGTGAATAAAACCTAGATAATCTGAGTATACCAGTCCAAAGTCATATACAAAAATCTCTATTAACAAAAAAATGACAAGCACTAGTTAAACGACTGATGTATGTGTAGAAGTGACCAGCTCTTTATAATAACAACATGATAAAGATTTTGGATGGCCCTTTGAAGCTTGTGGCAAAATAATTAAACAAACTGCATAATCCTTCTGGTATCATGGAATTTTGCTCTGAAACCATGAGCATTCAATAGCACGACAGCTTCCAGTACTAAATAGCTTCCAATGAAAATATAAGACAAAAGCTTGTTATGAAAAATATTTTACTTACCAAAATACCACTGACAAGAGTCACCTCGAACATGATGGGAAGAAGATTGAATACTAAAGCACTCAGGACAAAACTGATACCCCTTGTCCCTCTGTCAATAGCTTTTGATAAAGCTCCTGTCTGTCTACTGAGGTGGAAAGCCAGATCCAGGTTGTGAAGATGGAGAAAGACATTTCTGGCTATTCTTCGGATTGAATTTTGGGCTACCTTGCCAAACACTGCATTTCGAACTTCATTAAAAAAGGCCGCTCCAGCTCTTGATACACCATCTGACAATACATTCAAAAGAAAAAAATGGGATATAAAAACATTCGAATCATAGGAGTATAAAACTGATAAACATATGGTAAGAAAGTGTTTATACAATAAATGAATATATCAGAATACTTGCATTAAAAGAAACCTATAAATAAAGCATCTAACCTAGTGAGTACCAATCTCTCCACCTCCATGGATCCCTTTCAGTGTTATTTTCCACTATAAACTCCAGATGATGAAAGATTTTTTTCCAACTATTTCTTTTAACCTTTAAAAATTTTTTTAATGTTCTCATTTTATTTTTGAGAGAGACAGAGTGCGAGTGGGGCAGGGGCAGAGAGAGGGGGAGATACAGAGTCTGAAGCAGGCTCCATCCAGGCTCTGAGCCGTCAGCACAAAGCCTGATGCGGGGCTTGAATTCATGGACTGTGAGATCAAGACCTGAGCTGAAGTCAGATGCTTAACTGACTGAGCCACCCAGGTGCCCCTCCACCTAAATACTTTTAACAGACAGCAGCCCATATGGCCTTCCTGCAAATAAATGTACAATATCCATGAAAAATCAAGTGCATTGACTAAAGCACTTGATTTTCCCCATTCGCACCTCCTGAGTCTCATAAAGTGTTCTTTCTAATGCAGTAGGGAACAAGGCAACATAATCTGTTCTTTACAAATGGTAAATGTGTCATGGCTATTAAATGCAACTTAATAAAGCATTAATATACATATAGCATTATTTAGCTATTTCCCATTAAGCAGTTAACAACAATAATAAGAAAATAATTAGCCTTACTTTCAGGAATCCTATTAACTAACTTATTAGAAGTGGTTATTATGAATTTAATGTCTTATTTCATGTTATATTTTTCTAGAACTTGAAAAATGAGACTGTTATTACAGAATTTTACAAACATATCATAAAAAGAATTTTTTAAAACTACGTATCAAAACTTTCACATAAAACAATAAACATCCAAAATGCTAAGTTGTGTTTGTGCTAAAAAGGTCATCTGTTCAAATATGATGAAACCCTCTTGAAGAAAGTCAACACCTGTAGATAGATTAAAGAATCACACATACAGCCAATCAGAACTGCCGTTGCCATGGTTGCAACTGTATTTGGTGCGTCACTCAGGTTCAGCATGTTTCCCGACATCTGGTTGAGGCTGTCTACAGCATATTTAAACATGAAGGGAACCACAATATTCATGGCCTAAAAATATAAAAGCAATTACCCATCATATACAAAATATTTCCTAAAAGTGCAAGTATTTACCTTAAATTCGTATTTATGAGACGTTTAGATATTAATCATTTACTAGTATTGAAATGATTTTCCTAGATTATAAAGATAAAATCTTTGACATTGCAGAACTGTCATTTCAGGACTCCTACCTCACACTGACTGCCATATTAATATTCATTTATAACTTACGTGCATTACTCAAATGCTCAGGCCTCTGTGAAATAATCTCTGATCATTTGCTCAAAATGCTCTCTCCATTATCTGAAGTCCTACAGAGCTTCTGGCACTTAAGGCAAACTGCCTTATATGATAGTTCTTTATGTATATATTTTTTTCTTTCCTACTAGGTCCTTGATAGTCTGTGTCATTCATATTCCTTTGTTTCTTCCACCCTTGTTGAGTACTCTGCTTTGTATAGAGTAGGTATTCAAATATGTAAAATTATTTGTTCATCAAAATAATGGTAAAACTAAAATTATACAGCAGAAAATGTCTCAAAAACAGATCAGTTAAAAGTATCTGTGGCTGATTCACCATTGGGGAAAAAATACACAGACACAACACTGATAGATCTATTTGCCCCATAAAAAGATTCCTTTGTTCAGAGAAGAGGTGGGGGAAGTAGAGAAACAGAAGATAGGAATTAAGAGGTACAAACTTCTCATTACAAAATGAATAAGTCACAGAGATGAAAAGTACAGCATAAGAAATATAGTCAAATAATATTGTAATAATATTGTATGGTGACTACACTTACTGTGGTGAGCACTGAGTAAGGTATAGAATTGCTGAATCACTATATTGTATACCTGAAACTAATAACACTGTATGTCAACTATAATTCAATAATAAAAATTTAAAAAGATTATTTTGCTCAAATACTAAAGAAAACCCACTAACTACCAAACTAAGCTTTTAAAACCCAACCTATTTCTTCATGAGAATATACCAAAAAATATGAAAACTATGGGTATAATGCTTTCATATGTTCAAGGCAAATATTCACTCACATTTCACATTTTCTGCAAGGCTACAGTATCAAAAACAACAACTATCATTTAAGAATAGAAAACTGATTAGAATGCCAAAGCTTTAAAGAAGTTAAACTCCTATACAATAATATGTGAAAGCAAATCTGTTAGCTTTAACAAAAACAATGAAATCCCACCCCTTGTCAATGTTCCATTACTGTATCGTTCATCTTTGTTAAACATAAAAAATATTGTCAACAAACCTAAGTTTAGCTGACAACTGACAGGAGTTATGTAAATCTAACCAACCAAGATTTTGAAGTAAAGTATACAAGTGTCCTAGCAACCAAGCAGGTACTCTCATATTCAACAATATCATTAAAATACACAGCAGATGTTCGAACACTTTTAAGAGTGTAACACTACAGGATAAACTGCTTAAAGATTTTTTTCTGATTTCTAAAATATAATCTAATAGAATAGCAGGTTTCAAGTACGATAAATTTGTCAATTGTGATTCCCACATAATCATATAACCCCTCAAGCTCTTGCTTCTGCTTGAAATGGCCTACCTGCCAGATTTACCATTCTACTGCTCCATTCTTCAAAACCCACTCTATATACCATTCTCATCATGATGCCTTTTCTGAAACTTGCAGCCCATTTGGCATTCTTCCCATTTTCCAATTCTTCTTTTTTTATACTATATACAGCAGTATCTGTCATTTTTATTATATATTTATCATTCACATTCTAGGTGCAATGTGCATGGATATACTGGCTTCTCAATCTCAGTTCAGAAACCTTTTGTGGCAAACAAACATTTTGTGAGCAAGAGCTACAGGAATCAGGTATGATGCTATGTACCTTTTACAAAGGTATGAGCTGAATGAAATAACAATTCTATTAAATGAATATCCATTTAACTGAGGAAACTCAGATTCCATGAAGTTTAATGACTTGTCTGGGAAGCAGCAGAGCTAGGATTAAAATCCAAGACTGACTTGAAATTCAGAATTTTCTTCTAGTATGCCATAGCCATATTAGTAGCTCATAAAGCAAGGGACCATATTATTTTACTTTATTTGTACCCTAAAATGGATGTTCTCAAATATGCTATTGAAACTAGCTATAAAGTATGACACAAATAATTTAAATAAATCATAGCATATACCAGGGTTTCCATATAATAAGACCACATCCTCTCATTGCATTCCAATACAATTTCTTGAGTGGGAGAAAAAGTAATAGTTATAGCTAGCGATCTCATAACTTACAGCCTAATATATCTTTGCCACAGCCAGAATGTGTAGTGACCAAAACTAATTAATGTTATTACCAAGAAAGTTGTGTAACTTTATTTTCTTGAAAACGTGTTTGGGTTGGTCAAATTTGTGAGCATCTTTATAAATGTGTAAAGAATGTGAATGCCATTTGTTCTGTATTTTTACTGGCAGAAAAAAGGTAGTTAGCACAATGCTAAGAACATAGTACTACCTCTAATAATAATTGTTGATTACTTCCAGTTCTCCCAAAAATGTAATTTTAGAAAGGAAAAAAATTTAAAAAAACACAAAAAAATGGAAAGGATTATATTATGTGTAGATATTTTTATTACTACATGTGTATTGGTCACACTGGCCTTGTGATATTTTGAGCATGGGTGGGTGACAAATATTGGTTTTCCCTAATATTCTGCTTTCACTAGAACTACATATACTGAAACCATCTCAGAAATGGGAATTTTCTAAAAACATATCCTTCTGAAATAACTGTAGACTCACAGGAAGTGGCAAAAGTAGTACGAACAGACTTGATCCTTCACTCAGCATCTCCTAATGATGACATCTGATACAGCTGTAGTTCAATATCAAGACCAAAAATGTATATTGGCACATTACTGTTAACTAGACTACAGAACTCACTCAGTGTTTAACACACTTAAATGTGTATTCATGTATGGGTGTGGTCTGTATGTGTTACTAAATGGTCCTATGCTATTTTATCCCATGTTCAGATTCATGTAATGATCACCACAGTCAAGATACAGAACTACCCCATCACAACATAAGAAATCTCTTGTGCTACAGCTCTTTATATTCACTCCCATCCCACTTCCCCCAACATTTCAGTCCCTGTCCCCTGGGAACCACTAATCTGTTCTTGATCTTTATAGCTTAGTAATTTTGAGAATATTATATACATGGAATATCATTTGTAATCTTTTGAGATTAGTCTGCTTGTATTTTTTTTTTTAACTCAGCTTAATGCCCCTGAAGTTTATCAAGGATAATGCATGCATCAATAGCTCATCTTTTATAGCTGAGTACTATTCCATGGATATACCAAGTTTATTCAACCATTCATCGCTGAAGGACATTGTGGTTATTTCTAGTTTGGGACTAAAAATAAAAAGATGCTGTGGAAATTTTCATACAGGTGGTCACAAGTTTTCACTTCTCTAGAATAAATACCCAAGAGTACAACTCCTAAGTTGTATGGGAAGTCTACACTGAACTTTTTAGGAAACTCATGTTCTTTTTACATTCCCATCAGTAAAGTATGAGTGATTCAATCCTTCCACATCCTCACAACATTTGATATCATCACTACTGTTTTATTTTGCAACTATTTTAATAAATGTATAGTGATATCTTGTGGTTTTAATTTGTTTCACTGACAGCAATGATGCTGAACATCTTTTCATATTTTGATTTTCAATCCATATATCCTCTTTTGTAAAATATCTGTTCATGTCTTTTGCAAATTTTAGAACTGGATTTTTTTCTTTTTGCTATTGAATTTAAAAGTTCTTTATAAACCAATGAGAAAAATGGACTACAATTACATGGACAACATAGATAAATCTCACAAACCTAATGTTCAGTGAAAGAAGCCAGGTACAAAATAGTGCATAATGAATCTATTTATGTAATATTCATAAACAGGCAAAAGTAATTAATGTGAAGCTAATAATGTCCTATTTTTATATCTAGGTGCTGTTCATGTGGATATTGATTACACTGGTGTGTTTACTTAGTAAAAAGACCTACAGTTATACACCTAAAAAAATAAATTTAAAAAAAAAGTTCTTTATATATATTCTAGACATAGAGGCCTTTTCTGGATATGTGATTTGCAAAAGTTTCCTTCTAGTGTGTAGTTTGTCTTTCATCCTACTGAGGAGCCTGAACTACCCCACCTAGCAGTCATAAGGAGTTCCTTCCTTTAGGAGTCTGTGGAGGCCAAGGTAAGAACCTGGACTTTCAACCCCACCTACAGTAATGAGGCAGCACTCCATCCTCACTGGAGCAGTGTCACAGAAGGCCTGCTAACAAAAGATTTTAAAAAGATCCAGAGTCTTATAGCATAATACTCAAAATATCTGAGTTTCAATAAAAAAAATAACTCCTTATACTACGGACTACTAAGATTTCAACTTGAAATAAGAAAATACAATCAACAGACACAAATGTTAGAACTATCTGATGAGGATTTCAGAATAGCCATCATGAAAGTGTTTCAATGGGCCGCCTGGGTGGCTCAGTTGTTTAAGTGTCTGACTTCAGCTGAGGTCATGATCTCACCGTCTGTGAGTTTGAGCCCTGCGGTGTGCCCTAGTCTGGAGCTGCTTTGGATTCTGTGTCTCCCTTTTTCTGCCCCTCCCCAACTCATGCTCTGTCTCTGTCTCTCTCAAAAATAAATATTTAAAAAAAATAAAAGTGCTTCAAGGAGCATTTATGTACATGCTTCAAACATCAAAAAATATAATGTCTCAGGAGATAAATAGAAGACATAAAGAAGAACCACATGAAAAATCTGGAACTAGAAAGTAAATGACTGAATTTAAAAAAACCTGAATGGATGGGCTCCATGGCAGAATGGAGAGGACAAAGGAGAGAATCAGTCAACTTGAAGACAGAACAATAAAATTTACTGAATATGAACAACAGAGAGAAAACACTAAAAAGAGGGAGGTGGGTTCAAGACTCAGGG